CCTAGGGTGGGAGTCTCCAGGTCTCTAGGGGGGACACAGACTAATGTCCTCACTTAGTTGGAGGCTGAATGACTGGGAAGACCTGAAGTCAGGCGCCCAAACCGTTTGCAGTCCAAGATCCCGGGGAGCATAATGGTCATTTCCCGGAGGGGCTGGATCCCTGGGTTGACCGTTAGTGAAAGGTGGGCTGGAGCGCGAGTCACTGAATAAGCTGCAGGACTCCTGTCCGACCAGGAGAGCCCATTCCGACAGGGATCCCATTTCCATCCTCTTCATGGGAAGCCAGCCCCAACCTACAGATGCCCTGCTCCGGAGGCCTCACCCTGGTACCTGCTCGTGGAAGCATCTTCTTCCCATTTTCCAGGTAAACGTGGAGGTAGTGCACGCACCAGCTCTCCAGGGCGACCTTCCAATAATCAGGATCAGGGGCATAGACCAACTTGCGCCAGGTCATCTGAGCCGCCATGTCGGCCGCAGTCCAGGAGGTCAGGTCCTCGTTCAGGGCGAGGTAGTCGGCACCGTCGTAGGCGTATTGACTGTACCCGCGGAGGAGGCGCCCGTCCGACCCCACGACGCACCCTGTCATTTCCTGATAGGTGTGAGACCCTGACCCAGTCCCCAAGTCAGACTCATCCGCTCAGCCCCGCCCCCAGGCCAGCCCCGCCCCGAGGCCAGAAAAGCCCACTCAGCCCCGCCCCCAGGTCAGGCCCGCCCGGACATCAGGTCCTCCCACCTGAAATTCAGTCATTGTCCTGGCGGTCTCCTCCCGGTGGAGGCTGAGAGGGTCCTGCAGCCTCGGGGTGTCGCTCGGACCCGGACCCTGGGGGCGACCCCGGCCGCGTGGCTCACCGTTCCCGCTCTGGTTGTAGTAGTCACGCAGGTTGTTCAGGTTCCCTCCGTGAGTTTGTGCCCAGTCCTTGATGATCTCCGTTTGCTGGTCCCAATAATCGGGGTACACCTGCTCCACCCACGGCTGCTGCATCCACGGGATCCGCGGCTCCAGCCTCGGACTCGCCGCGTCGTTGTCGAACCGCACGAACTCTATGTCGTCCACGTAGCCGACGGCGATGTACCGGGACTTTCCGACGCCCGGTCCAGACAGGACGGTGCTGAAATACCTGAGGGAGTGGAGTCCTGGGGGGTGGAGGAGGGCAGGGCCAGGGCTGGACACGCGCCTTTCCGGCCCCCGCCCCCGCCGGGTCCCCTCGCTCCTCCCCACACAGCCCCCCGCCCCCGCCCGACCCCGCACTCACCGGCCCAGCTGGGGGTCAGGACCAGCGCCCCGGAGAGCAGCAGGAGGAGGGTGGGGGGCCTCAGGACCCGCATCCTTGGCGTTGGAAGCCCAAGTGAGTCTGGGCGGGTCCGGGAAAAGGTTATAACAGTGACCCGTGGTCACGCTGATTGGCTGCTCTAGAATCAGGACACCCAATGGGAGTGAGAAGTGGGGCCACGTCATGAGTCTCCAAAAAGGAGGCCCCGACCCAGGTTGGGAGAAGAGAAGGGAAATCCCGGGAAGATGGGGAATCCCCACACTGTGGTTCTGGCCTGGGACTCTGTCCCCTGCGGAGACCTGAGGGCCGGGCCTGGGACCTGGAACTTGGTCCTGACCCTCCTCCTGCGCGGAGCGTCGTGTCACCACTGTCCCCCAAGGCCTGGCCCAGGTGCTGTGCTGTTCATCGCTCTCATTTTGGCATCAGATTTTCTATACATTGTTATAAATTAGTGAGGAACCAAAAAGTAATTTTGTTTATGCTGATTATCGCTATCAATATTTACCACATAAGGAATCAAACAGTTTGAAGAGACTATTAATTCATTTATCATATTAATAACTTATGATATGGTTATCAGAAATAATGTTCTTATGAAAAATACCTATTTCCTAATAAACAAGGAGGTGAGAGTAGAGGACCTGCTCCCATTTTACATCCTTGCAAGTCTCACTTGGAGATACTGGATCTTCATATTTGCTTCTGCGTTTCATCTATTATTTTGATTGAAGTATATGAAAAATATAGAGCCACCCAGAAATGTGCAGAAGAAGTATTTTTAATAATATTTTCAGATGTGTAAATATTAATCTTTGATAGCACGCTAAAACTACACAAGCAGTAGTTTCTGAAAAGGGCTTTGCAAAGTGAAACCTGAACCATTATTGAATCATTTCTATTCTGTTCTGTCACAGTCCCCAGGGCTGTCTTGCTGGGTGGCTCTGGTCCTCATGCAGGTTATGTAAAGTGATGCCTTGTGTCTCTAAGTCCTACAGACCTTCCCGTGCTGATGCATTTAATCACGTCATCAAAGCTCACAGGTGTTGCTGTCCCCACAGAGACCCCTAGAAAAGCATGTCAGCACTGGGGAGCGGTCTAGCTCATGCGGTGGGACACACCTGTTCCAACATTCTGGTTTTCTCTTGGGGGCTGACATTGTATCAAGACAACAGGCCTGTCAGTTGTCACCTGCCAGGTGATGTTTCCTGAAAGGACAAGCTCACGTTTATTTTCAAGGCCTGTGGGAAGCGATTGAGGAGGTGACTCAGCTGTGAATGCAGCAAGCAGAACCAATAAGCATGGTCAGACCCACCCACCAGGACTCAAAACATCATCTCATTGCCTGACAATAGCTGACTTCTGCCGACCCCCAGGCCTGCACTTAGCTGCATTCGGGTCCCAGCCTCACCCCAGCCCTTTCCTTTATAGTC